TCTCTCTCTCTCTCTCTCTCTCTCTCTCTCTCTCTCTCTCTCTCTCTCTCACTCTCTCTCTCTCTCACTCTCTCTCTCTCTCTCTCTCTCTCTCTCTCTCTCTCTCTCTCTCTCTCTCTCTCTCTCTCTCTCACTCTCTCTCTCACTCTCTCTCTCTCTTTCTCTCTCTCTCTGTCTCTCTGTGTCTCTCTTTCCATTTATATACGACTATCCTTCTCTACCCATCCCTCTATAAGCACCCTACGTCATCTTACCAACCCTATCCACATCAGAATCCACATAATCCACACGACAATCCACATCGCGTTTTATCCACCTTCCCACATCCACGGTGAGTCACTCAGGGAGAGTCACGGGCGCCTGGGATTCTAACTTTAGTTTCTCGATATTCTCTGGACCGTGGGTAGTGGGGGGGGGGGGAAGAGGCAGGGGGAGGAAGGGGGGAGGAGGAGTAGGGAGAGCGGAGGAAGGAGGGAGGTAGGTGGTAGGAGGGAGAGAGGGGGTAAGTGGAGGAGGAAGGGAAGGAAGGGAAGAGGGAGGGAGAAAGGAGGGAGAAGGAGGAAGGGAGGAGGGAGAAAGGAGGGAAAGGGAGGAAGGGAGGAAGGAGGGAGATTGGGGCGAGTGGTGGCGAGAAAGGAGGAGGAAGGGGGAAGTAGATAGAAGGGATGAAGGAAGAGAGTGGGAGAGGCAAGGAGGTGGGAGAGAATTGAAAATAAGGGAAGGGGTTAAGGGAAGGACGGGGTCTGAAGATGGCAGAAAGGGGGAAGGAGAGGGTGAGGATGGAAAAGGGAGAAGGAGGGAGGAGAATGGAGGGAGGGCGAAGGAGAGGTAAGGGAGGGCAACGAGGAGGAAGCAAGGTAGAGGAGCTAAGGGAGAAGGAAGAGGTATGGGGAAGGCTAGGCTAAGGGGAAAGGATAGAAAGGGGATAGAGGAGGCAGAGGGGAGGGGAGGGGAAGAATGGGGGAGGGGGAAGGGGATGGGGGGGGAGGGGGGTTTAAGTAACCTCCTTTGGCTAAAACCTGTTTCACTGTTTCATGCTATCAACCTGTGCCTTCGAGCATGCTGAGGTCGTGTACCTGAGCGATTAATCTAATTGTTGGGAAGCTTTTATAAATTAGTACACACGCAGGTCCGGAAACTTTGCTGGGCGAGGAAAGAAGAGAGAAGGAGAGAAGAGCGGGAGAAAGCAAGAGATCGAGAAAGAGAGAAAGAGAGAGAGTGATAAGAGGGAGCAAGAGCGAATGAGAGAGAGAGCGAAGACAGGTGTGCAAGAGAGCCAGACGGCCAGGCGGGTGAGCGTGCAGGCAGCGAGTAAGGGTAGACTGTGATAATCCAACACGGCATGTGAGGGCGTTTTGGGCGGTGGGTGGGCGGCGGGAGGCGTGGGGCCGGTGGGCGGTCCCTCTCCTCCTCGAGTGTAACCGATCCGCGGGCGTGGAGCTGGAACGGCTTGGATATAAGGTGCGGGCGTCTTAGCCAGGTCGCCCACGTTGCCACAAGCACTCACAACACCGCCCACACCCTCTCGTCAGCCGCAAGCGCCCATCTAGTCAGCAGGTGGGTTGAGTCTCCAGCTCCCTTCCTCGAGGAGTATTGTGTCTGTGTCAGTGAGAAAGTTGAAACGTCCACGCAGAAGGAAAAAAGAATTAACACACGCTGTGGGTCCCTTTGCCTTGCCCTTTCGTTCGCGAGTTTCTGTGCAGTGTCCAAAGCTTCGTCTTAGAATTCAAGAGAGAGAGAAAAGCAGAGCGAGAGAAAAAGGGAGCTAGAGAGAGAGAGAGAGAGAAGGAAAGTAAAAAAATAAGATAAAACGTAACAGGATAATTCCATTTATTTCTACCAACTGGAGATCAGGATATAGCTCTCTCTTTTAACACCAAACAGAAAACCATTTTTAAAAAAAGGATTCATGCATACAATAGTTTATTTCGTTCTCAGGCGCATACAATAGATCGAGGAATATACCAGGTGTCCTCCTCCAGCTTTTTATATCGTTTCTCTCTCTCTCTCTTTCTCTCTATATCTATCTATCTATCTTTCTATTTATCTATCTCTATCTCTCTATCTCTATCTCTCTATCTCTCTATCTCTCTATCTCTTTATCTCTTTATCTCTCTATCTCTCTATCTCTCTATCTCTCTATCTCTCTATCTCTCTATCTCTCTATCTCTCTATTTCTCTCTCTCTCTCTCTCTCTCCCTCTCTCTCTCTCTTTCCCTCTTTCTTTTATTCTTTCGTTCGTTCAACCTTTCTTCTTTAGTGAACTGACAAGAGGTAACCTTTTCAAGACCGTTCTTTACACTTTCGCTGACATCTTAAGGCTCTGTACGGGCACCTCATGTCCAGTGACTCTCACGTATGAATTTTACGAGTGTCTTCATGTCGTCAAATGCTACACACACCACAGAAAGTTTCTTGCATTATGCTAGACTTATATCGTTGAGAAGTCGCTTTTTTTAACAATACGCCTCTGTAGGAAATTTGTATTATATACCGTGATGTCATTTTCACGCGAGCGAGACTTGTTATAGAGAGGATGAAATGGCATATTAAGGTCAAGTAAACATTGTAGATATGGTCTTCCAAAGGAGTTACGTCTCTAGAAAGGTTTAATAGAACTGAGCGAATAATGATTAGAAAAGATAAATAATAGATGAATGATATATAATATATAAAAAAATACAAAATTAATGCATATACGTAGGTTTTATCTCGATGTTTCTAGAACTTAATCGAACTGAGCGAATGATGATTGTTGATAATGAATAACAGATGAATAATCATTGATAAATAGGAAATGAATAAATGCACATACGTATGTGTATTTTTTGTCTCGAAGTTTCCGTCTTCATATAGACAGAAATATAAATCATTAGTTCGTTATACCTTATCTTAAGTTCCCATGCACTTTTATATCAACACTCCCTATGTAGATATAAAATCATAAATTCACCCCACATGCTTTTTATTTCTATTTTCATGTAATCACACATAGGTTTATTCCAAAATGGGTGTAGATACGACCAAAGAAGTCTTACGTGTCCTTTTTATATTACATTTTGATATCTATGGATAATTTGCAAGTTTGTCAATAGAATAATACGAAAATAATTTCCGTTAATCTTGTGTCTTCGCGTTTTCTTCTTTGTATTTCTCTTTTTATTCTTTATTTTAGTTCCATATCAACGTGTTCGTTTTCCAAAGTCTAGGTTACGTGTTCCATAATATTTCTCTTTATCTGTATCATAAATCTGGTACTTCAATTTACTCTTTCACTTTTTTTATCTGAATTATACTATTTCCCATTCTGAATAAGACGATTCCATCTTTAAAGATTATTTTTCACCTGCTTTTGGCAACTTTTTGAAAAAAAAATTGTTTGTTGTTTTGTTTTTTTATGATTGTCATTCAATTTTCTTAACGTAAAAAACATTCGTGTTAATATAGTCAAGATTTCAAAAATATACCCCACATTCTTTAACAGTTATATATACTCACAAACCCCGAATGCAGTTCTGTAAAACTACCATTTTATCTTGTTCACATAATTACATATTAATCAGACACTCATAACGTATCATAAATCCCTCATAATACATATATATTTCTTTCTTTCTTTCTTTCTTTCTTTTTATTTATTTATTTTTTTCAACGCCTCAACTTTTCAACAATCTTACGCAACATTCTCTTTCCGCATGCGAACATGTTTTGATGTAATTATCCTTAACATTACTTCATAATCCAATTCTCCTTTATCACGAAACACTCTATGCTTCCCTATGGATATAAACCAATAACGTGTCTTATAGCATTAGATATAAGTTCCCTTTGATGGTATTTTCTTTCCAAAGGTCATGGATAACATCTCATGCAAGATCTCTTCCTTTCTTATTTTGCCTTTCTTCTCTCTGTCTGTCTGCCTATTTCTGTATTCATCTATCTATTTATCTATATATCTATCTATGTGTCTATCTATGTATATATATATGTATATATGTGTGTATAAATAAATATATATATATATATATATATATATATATATATATATATATATATATATATATATATATATATATATATATACATATATATATATATATATATATATATATATATATATATATATATATATATATATATATATATATACTGTCTCTCTCTCTCTCTCTCTCTCTCTCTCTCTCTCTCTCTCTCTATATATATATATATATATATATATATATATATATATATATATATATATATATATATATATATATATATATATATCTGTTTGTCGATACTCCTATCTTTATCTGTCTTTCTTCCTCTCTTTCTATCTCTTTATCTAACTATTTATCTATCTATCTGTCTGTCCGGGTATCTATCTGTCTACCTATCTTTATCTATCTATCTATCTATCTATCTATCTATCTATATATATATATATATATATATATATATATATATATATATATATATATATATATCCTTCTCTCTCTCTCTCTCTCTCTCTCTCTCTCTCTCTCTCTCTCTCTCTCTCTCTCTCTCTCTCTCTCTCACTCTCTCTCTCTCTCTTTCTTTATCTGTCTATCTATCTATCTTTTCGCTTCTCTTCTCTTCTCTTCCTCTTCCTCCCAAGCATAAAAAAGTGAATAGACTCGGCATAATTAAACCCACAAACAAGAAAAAGAGAAGGCATAGAAACACACGCATATAAACGAACGCGCAAATTAGGTTAAGCTCCGACGAATATATAAATAACGACTAATTCCATACGCAGTCTTCCTTCCCTAAGTCCCTAGTCATTGTTATGTATGCTGCCATTGTCCTTGTTATTTCAGTAATGTTAATACCTTATGTCTCTCTCCCTCAGGATGCACCCACCAGGCACCAAAGGCGGCTACCCTAGCACCGGTGGCTACACCACGGGGTACTCCACAGGGTACTCCAGTGGGTACTCTAGCGGGTACAGTGGCCAGCAGATGCAGCAGATGCAGCAGATGCAGCAGAACCAGCAGATGCCGCCCCCTGTCCCTCCTTTCTCCCGCCCACGCCCCTCCTACCCACCCAAGCATGTTAGTAGCCGGACTTTGTCGTTTTCTGTTTCCGTTTTCTGTTATTTTCGTCTTTGGTTTATCTTTAAATGGATATTAGTACTGATTCTGGAAGTTTAAGATATATTATTGTTGATTTGGGTGGATGTTAAGAGTGCCTTTGTTTCGTTAGAGAATGGTTAGTGTTTGTGGAAATCTGTTGGGAAGATAAAAGTGAAATATGTTTATGTCGAATAGCAACCGTTGCTTCACTGATTCCCGTTTTCTTTATCCCTCCATCCCCCCTTCTCCCGTCTTTGTCTCACCGTCCTCCTTGTCCTCCTTCTACTCCTCTTTTGCCACCTCCTCCTCCTCTTCCTCTCCCACCTCATCCTCCTCATCTTCCACGTCCCCTTCTTATTCCTCCTCCTCCTCTTTCTCCTCCACTTCCTCCTCCTCCTCACCCACCTCATCCTCCTCTTCCTCCTCTTCCACCTCCTCCTCCTCCTCTACAATACCCTCCTCCCCCCACCATCCACCTTACCCCCTTCCCTCCCGCAACCACCCCCTCTCCCCTCCCTCCCTATACCCTTCCTTTACCCTCCCCCTTGTCCCTACTTCCTCTCCTTCCCTTCCCTTCCCCAGGAGCACGAATACGAGGAGGAGCGGCGTTATGGGCGTGGGCGTGAGAGGTACCACTCGCGGGAGGTAGCCATGAGGGCGTGCTTCGACATGATGAGACGCCGGTACAACGAAATGCCAGCCGATCCCGCCCAGAATTTCCCCACCCACAGTGAGTTGGGGAAAGGGAAAGGGGGTAAGGGTTAGGGAAAAGAGGGGAAGGGTTGTAGGTTTTTTTTGGGGTTGTGAAAGTTGTTGTGAAATAGTTTGTAATACTGCAATAGATGGATATATGTTCTCTTTATTCGTATATGATTTCTTTATCTGTCTGTCTTTCTATCCATATGTTTATTTACCTTATCTGTCTATCTGTCTTTCTGTCTATCGATCTACCTATCTATCTGACTATCTTTTTATTTATCTTTTTACCCATCTATCTATCTACTTTCTTTCTCGGTCTCTCTCTCTCTCTCTCTCTCTCTCTCTCTCTCTCTCTCTCTCTCTCTCTCTCTCTCTCTCTCTCTCTCTCTCTCTCTCTCTCTCACACTCACTTTCTCTCTCTCACTTTCTCTTTCTTTCTCTCTCTCTCTCACTTTCTCTCTCTCACTTTCTCTCTCTCACTTTCTCTCTCTCTCTCTCTCTCTCTCTCTCTCTCTCTCTCTCTCTCTCTCTCTCTCTCTCTCTCTCTCTCTCTCTCTCTCACTAACATTAAACAAATCAACCCCCATAACAGGCAAGCATTCACTCTTCTCCTCCTCCCTCTTCCCTTCTCCGCCGCCCACAGCCCACCCCATGGGCGTGCCTGCAGACATCCTTCGCGTGGACTACGTCGACTTCCGCCCACAGGAGAATGCGAAGGACCACCGCACCTTCCATTACGAGTTGGTCCAGGATCATGACCGCCCTACGCCCGTGTTCAGGAGAGGACAAGCCTTCTACATGTCTCTGGTGAGGACACGGGGATGGGCGTGGGTTGGGTTTGTGTGGGGTGGGTGGGTTTGTTGGTGTGGGCGTGGTTATGTGTGTGTGTGTGTTGGGGTGGGGGGTGGGGATGTCAGTGTGCCTGTTTAAGTGTCTCTTAAGTGTACCTGTGTATCCGTATGTGTGTTCACAAAATCCGTTCGTGTTTGTGTGTGTGTGCGTGTGTGTGGATGTATCCCCGTGTGTGTATTTTGCCCGTGTGTACATGAGTAAGTTTGTGGTGTAAAGTAAGCTAGAGAGAAATAATCTAGGAAATCATAAACTTTAGACTGTAAAATGAATGATTTAAGAAGACACCGTGGGAAATATTTTGAATACTTTATTCAACACGAGAAACAAAATTAATTAATGATAACAGAAAAGAAAATGTGTAAATAGTGAATAGACCCTAAAATATAATATAATATTAAGATCTGACTATGGTTACTAAGGAATTAAATACCAAACATTAGCCTTATATCTAATAAAAATGTAAAGCAAAACTATAGATATAGATAATGATAGACAAATAAACAAACAAATTACTAAATAATGCCATCAGTGAATAAGTTAATAACGAAATGAATGGGTAAATAAATGAACGTGACCTTTAACCTTTACCTTCCCTTTTCCCTTATCTTCTATTATCTTTATCTTATTCCTGAACTCAATCACTATCTTAGGCAACTTATCTTGATGTTTGGTAATCTGTCTCTCTATCACTTCGTCTCTTCGGGGAAACTGATTAATTTTAACTTCTTAAGTTTGTTTTTCTTAGTTACTTTCTCTTGCATATATTTAGGTACACACACACACACAAACGCATGCACACACACACACACGCACACACACACATACACACATGTCTGTTTGTTTTTTGTTAAACCATAACGTAATATATTATTCGTGAAACTGTTGTTGTTTTTTTGTTTCTTTGTTCGATTGTTTTTCATAGATACAGTAAATGACTTTACAAGTTTATATCTTTCTCTGTCTTCTTTAATTAGTTTAGATCCCTAGTTCATTTTTCTACCTTCCGCAGTATCATATTGCTCCAAATTTGTTCCCAAATTTAGCCAGTTATCATTAAAATCGTCGACTATTTTCTTTTTTTTTGTATTTTTGTTGTTTTTTCTTTCTGTTTTATGTTCTTTTTCTTCTGTTTTTGTTCTGTCTTATTCGTTTCTTCTCTCCCTATTGATTTTTTTTTTTTTCATCTCTAAATGTATTTCTACCTGATCATCTCTATATACTTATCTATCATTCTGTCTATCAGTCTATCTGTCTATCTCTCTCTCTCTCTCTCTCTCTCTCTCTCTCTCTCTCTCTCTTTCTCTCTCTCTTTCTCTCTCTTTCTCTTTCTCTTTCTCTTTCTCTCTTTCTCTCTCTCTCTCTCTCTCTCTCTCTCTCTCTCTCTCTCTCTCTCTCTCTCTCTCTCTCTCTCTCTCTCTCTCTCTCTCTCTCTCTCTCTCTCTCTCTCTCTCTCTCTCTCTCTCTCTCTCTCTATCTATCTCTCTCTCTCTCTCTACCTACCTGTCTACCTCGATCTTTGCCTCAGTCTCCATCTCTACCACGATCTTGACCTATCTATCTATCTATCTATCTATCTGTCTATCTTCCCTTTCTCCATCGTATACATTCCTCATTCCGGCTTTCTCTCCCTCTCTCCCTCCTTCTCTCCCTCTCTCTTTCGTCCATATCTCCCCCCCTCCCCCCCTTCTCCCCCCCACAGCCCTTGCCCTCAACCCCTCCCCCACAGACTCCCCCAAAATCACAGCCCTAATTTCGTCTGAATACCTAATCCTCGTCCCTAATCCCTACACACACACACCCAACTTAATACCTTATATTTGCTATACCTCAGCAATCCCCCAGAGTCCCTAATCTGTTAATTTTGATCCCAAATACACCTTAATTCCCCTCTTACCCTCTTTCAGTTATTCCTTTAAAAAGAATCAAATCCCAGATAATTACCTCCCCCCCCCAAAAAAAATGTATATATCTTTTTTAAATCAGCCAACCACTCAGTCAATCACACAACTCCCTTCTCCTCCTTTAATTATTGTTATTATTGTTATTTTTAGTATTATTATTATCATTATTATCATTATTATCATTATTATTATTATTATATACATAAAAATAATAATAAAAGATACGACTAATTAACCAGCACCCGACCAGAAATCCTACACCTTTCTACCTTACTTGTCTACCATCCACTCAACCAGCTACCCCCCCCCCCCCCCTAATAGATATCCAACCACTCAACCAAGCAACCAGCCCCCCCCCCCCCTCAAAACATAATAAAATAAACAAGATAAAAAAAAGTGCTATCCACCATCCACTTACACACGTAACCAATCAGCGCCCCCCCCCCTTTAAGGAACACCAAACCACTTACCCAATCAACTCCCCACCCTTAACCAGTCAACCCTTAATCAACTAACTGATTAATTTTTAATCAAGTAGCCAATCAACCCCCGCCCTTAACCAACCAACTATTAGTCAACCAACCAACCTACCCCCCCACCCTTAATCAACCAACCAATCAACCTCCGCCCTTAATCAACCAACCAACACCCCACCCCCACCCTTAACCCCCCCCCCACCACCCCCCTCTTAAAAGCGACTCCAACACCCCCCCGCACCAACTCCAACACGACTCCAATCCCCCTCCACCCCCACCACCCCCTCTTAAAAGCGACTCCAATCCCACCACCCCCCCACCCCCACCACCCCCTCTTAAAAGCGACTCCAACCCCCAACCCCCCACCCCCACCACCCCCCTCTTAAAAGCGACTCCAACACCCCCCCGCACCAACTCCAACGCGACTCCCCGGCAGGTTACCCGCGAGCGAGACTTCGACTGCACGCGCGACAACCTCTACCTGAACTTCTACTTTGGCCCTAACCCTTCCGTGCCCAAGCGTACCCGCATCGTCTTGCCCGTCACCATCCAGAAGGAGTTTTCGAAGGCGCCGCAGAAGTGGGACTGCCGCATCCACGCCCAGGACTCACGCAACCTCACACTGCAGGTGGGTTGTTGAGGGATTCGTGGGTGGTTGTGTGGGTTGGGGAGAGATGGGAGGGTAATGGGGAAGGGGGAAGAGGGGGGAGGGATGGAAGGGAATAGAAGGGAAGAGGGATGGAGGGAATGGGGAGGGGGGTTAAGAGGGGGAAGGGAGGGAGGGATGGAAGGGAATCGAAGGGGAGAGGGATAGATGGGGAAGAGAGGGAAACAGGGATACTAGGGAGGGGGGAAAGGGGTTGGATAGAAAGGGAAAGGGAGGGAGGGGTAGATGGGGAAAAGATGGGAAAGGGGGAGGGAGAAGAGGGATGGAAGGGGGAGAGAACAGGAAGAGGGATAGAGGAGGAAAGAGGGTAAGGATAAAAGGGAATTGAATAGGGTAAGAGAGTGGATAAGATGATGATGGATTCATATTTGAGTAATATATTTTCTAATTAAAATCATATAATCAAATGTTCATTCGTACCAAACATATCGTAAACATTGAATATAAAACTAAAATCCAATTCATACTTTCGAAATAAAAAAAAATATATACAAGTAAACTAGCCCTAAAATACCCTCTCCATAACACTTAACCCCTATGACCTCTGACCCCCCCCCCTCCTTTGACCTCTGACCTCTGACCCCGTAGGTGCACATCCCCGCCACCTGCCCCGTGGGTGTGTGGCGCTGTGTGGTGGAGACGGCCACCAGGAACTACCCCAAGGCGAGGACGCAGTACCGCGCTCCCGAGGACATGTTCGTCATCTTCAACCCCTTCTGCAGAGGTCAGGAGAAAGCCTGGTGTTTTTATTATTATTTTTTGTTTTTATTATTATTATTATTTATTTTTCTTCTTCTCCTTCTTTGTGTTATTCTTTTAAGTACGTGTAAATCGAACAGCATTTGCTCCTTGAAATACGTTAAGACCAATTGTTTTCAAATCCTTTCCTTCATTCTTCTTCTCTTTCTTCATTCCTTCCTCTCTCCCTTCCGTCGCATGTCTCGACTCCTTACTAACTCTCTACCCTTCTCTCCTCTTTCTATTCCCCAGACGACGCCGTGTACATGGAGAACGATGCTCAGCGTAGCGAGTTCGTGATGAATGACACTGGCAAGGTTTACTTGGGCGGCTCCAAGAACACCCACGGCCGCCCATGGGTTTACGGCCAGTTCGACGACTGCGTCCTGCCAGCTGCTTGCGTCCTGCTGGAGATGTCTCGCCTGACCCATGCTGAGAGAGGCAACCCCGTGAAGGTGTCCCGCGCCCTCTGTGCCATGGTGAGGGCAGGCTCTTACTCGTTTTCTCCATTTTACTTTTGTACTATGCTTTTCTTCTTATACGTCTTTAAGAAAAAAATAATAAAAATTCCACACTTCATATGGCAATCATCTCCATCACTATTTACATTGTAAATGTACACTTACATTGTAAGTGCCTTTAACTATCACATCACTATCCACACTACTCATCATCTACACCAAACTACTCCATCACCATCCACATTATCCCCCTAAATATCCACACTATCCTCTCACCATTCAACTCCACATCATCCCCTCACAACTCACGCTAACCTCCCCCTCACTACCCACACCTCTCCTCCTCCAGATCCAGTCCTCAAGGAACCACCGCCGAGACTACGAGGACACAGACGGCATGCTAGAACCTTACTACGAGGACGACCATCGCGGAGGCCAGAACCCCCACCTCTGGACCGGTTCTGTCAAGATCATCGAGGAGTTCTTGTGGCAAGGGGCGACGCCTGTCAAGTTCGGTCACTGCTGGGTCATGTCAGCTCTGCTCACGACGTGTAAGGGTTAAGGATTCTCTGCGGGGGTTGGGGGTTTCCTGAAAGGTGGGGGAGGATCTCTCGGGGGTTCTTAGGGGATGATTTGGGGGATCTTGAGAAGGTTGGGGGGGTTCCTGAAGAGGCTCGGGGCTTCATGAGAAGGTTAGAGGTGTCCTGGAGAGGCTATGGTGTTCTGAAGCTGGTGGGGGGTTCTCTAAGGGTTAAGGGTTCTATGCGTGGGTTTGAGGGTTTCCTGGAGGGTTGGAGGTTCCCTTGGAGTTGGAGGATTCCAGAAGTTTTGGCTGGGGATTCTTGACAAGGTGTGGGCTACCTTAAGGGTTGAGAGTTTCCTTAAATGCTGGGGTTTCATTACGGTGGATGGAGGTTTCTTAGTAATAGGGGACTTTCTCGGGGGTTAAACATTAAATGGGTTTAAGAAGCTGAGCTGTCAATTAGTTTAAGATAATAATTTTTTATGCTTTTGTGCTATATTATTTATCTCTATTTATCTTTCTTAAGTTTTTCTCCCGAAATCTGTCTCTCCATCGATCCATTTATCAATCCGTTTATCTCTGCCAATGTACCGATGCCTTTCTTTCTATTCCTCCATTCATCCTTTCTCTTTCTCTCCCTCTCTCTCTCTCCAGTCCTGCGTACCTTGGGTATGAGCGCTCGCCCAACCACCGTGATCACGTCAGCGCATGAGACCCAAGATACCCTCACCATCGACCGCTATGTGGATCGCTTCGGTGATATTGTGAGTATGGTGTTGTTGTGTTATAGTGTGGGTTCTTGTCTTGAGGGCTGTTGGTCATTTTTTGGGGGGGTGGTATATTTTTTATTTGTTATTCTGCTGTTGTTGTTTTGAATTGGTGTTTCATATGTTTTTTTTTATCTAACTGGTTAGTCTGTTTTCTCAGTCCTTTTTTCCTTCTTACTGATTTGCTCTCTCTCTCTCTCTCTCTCTCTCTCTCTCTCTCTCTCTCTCTCTCTATATATATATATATATATATATATATATATATATATATATATATATATATATATATATATATATATATATATAAATCACGATCTATCTATCTATCCCAAATGCAATACTGGATTTGGAATTTGAGTATAAAATCCATGGAATCTGTGTGTTACAGGATATTCCCTCTTTCTTGCTTTGATAAATGTAAATTGAGACTTTCTCATGCAATGAGGAGAGAAAATATTTAATATCAGATTTTAATCTCTTTGACATGCAAATCAAAATTACATTTCCTGAGTCTTCTATAATAAAGGCATGGATGCGAAGAATGGCAACAGTTTTTTGTTCTCTTAGTGAAAGACACGTCATAATAATGTGTTTCTGAAAAGAAAAAATCGTTATTACTTACAGTTTTTCTTAAGCCAAAACTTTCCAGATTTTTTAAATATCTCGTTTTCTATTTCATACAACTGTGCTGTCTTCTTGTTAAAAGGAAAATTATATGGTTATAATTCTTTCTGTTTTACTTTTATGTTAGTCTCTCTCTCTCTCTCTCTCTCTCTCTCTCTCTCTCTCTCTCTCTCTCTCTCTCTCTCTCTCTCTCTCTCTCTCTCTCTCTCTGTATATATATATATATATATATATATATATATATATATATATATATATATATATATATATATATATATATATATATATATATATTTCTCTATATATATACCTACCTATTTACTATTCATCTTTCCCATCTGTCTATTATCTCTTATTCCCCCTCTCCCTTTCTCTTTATCTTATTATTATCATCTTATCTCCTGTTCTCCCTCAGATCGAGCGTGGTCCTGGCCGAGACCAGCCTGACGCTGTGTGGGCCTTCCATACCTGGTGTGACGTCTGGATGACCCGACCTGACCTGCCCTCAGGCTACTCGGGCTGGCAGGCTCTTGACCCTGCCCGCTCATACTTCAGGGATAGTGAGTATTAATTAGAACTGAGAGAAATAGAAATTAGAATATGTAGCGGGTAATAAATTGTCTTCACTTCCACGATATTCACTTTTAAATGAAGGAAATGATTCATTATCATGCGAAGGAAGTTATTCACCATTAGGGAAAATACATATTTAGTTTAGATAAATAATGGAAGAAGAAAGTCACCCCGAAGAAAAGGATAATGATAATAATGATAAAAAGGCGAAGAAAAGAAAAAAATATTAATTACTTCGTTCTCTCTCTTCCCTTCACTCTCCCCTTCCCTTCCCTCTCCCTCCCTTTCTCTCCCCCTCCCGCTTCTTTCCCTCCTTCCTACGCCCACCAGGGTACTCAAACGGCTGTGGCCCATCATCTGCCGAGGCGGTGAAGAAGGGAGACGTTGGTTACTCCTACGAGACCTCCGCCCTCTTCTCCGCCCTCAACACCTTCGTCAGATACTTCTACGAGGATGACGACTCCGAGTGGGGCTACACACACTACAGGCAGTACAGGTAAACATGGGTGGACTGTTCTTCTTTGGGTTTGGTTGCTACTGTTATTTGTATAGTTCTGTCGTTACTACTGCTGTTGTTATTGTTGTTTTGGTTGGTTTCTCGTTTCTGTATTGTAGTTCTGTGTTCGGATATACGTTCATACAGTCCGTGGACATGTTCAGTTCTTTTGAGTCAAGTGTCTATAGAGAAAGGATCACATCCTATAAGATCGTACAAGCCTAGCACCACTCTACCTAACCTCTCCCCTTCCCCTTCAGGTTCCCAATGTGCAGGTCGATAATGACCAAGGCCGTAGGACGCCACGACGACGACGGCGAGGGTGACTGCGAAGATGTTACGAAGACGTACAAGGACATGGAGAGGTCCGAGCCAGAGAGGTTCACCGTCTTCAACGCCTGCCGGGGAATGAGGAAGGACCACGTCTACTACGATTATCAGGTGAGGATGAGGGTGAGTGAGGGAGTGATAGAGAGACTGAGTGATAGAGGGAAGGGGTGAATGATTGGTGGGAGGGAGGGAGTGATAGAGGGAGGGAGTGAGTGTGATAGAGGGAGGGAGGGATAGAGGGAAAGGGTCAATGGTTTGTGGGAAGGAGGGAGCAAATATAGGGAGTGAATGACAGAGGAGTGAGTGAATAATGATAAGAGAGAAGGAGTGAAGGGTGATGGAGAGAAGGGGTGAATGATAAAAGAGGAGGAAAGAGTGAGTGAGTGAGTGAGTGAATGATGATATAGGTAGTGAGTGAATGACAGAGTGAGTAACTAAGTCTGAAAAAAAAATGAAACATAACATAGGGATATCAAACAGAGGAAGCACACGAAACCTAATAAATATGGAAATACGCCAAGGAATGCGAAGCGAAGGGGGGAAGACGAGAGAAAGAGACAGTGACAGACATATTAACACCACCACAAATGTGACTGGCAGACTCTCACGCGGCGAATGCATTTGCAATTACCACTCTTGACTCGATGATAACTGAAGGTTTAATTAGTCTGCCTCATTAATTTGTTGAATTAGTCTTTCCTTCAGCAAATAATGTGAATTGTGTAGCGATATGTCGTGTATTCTCCCTTTGAAGTCATTGTAATAAGTCAAAGATATCTTATTTACTGACGATGATAATTGCAGTGATGATAGTAATAGTAATAAGAATAATAATGATAGTAATGACAGTAACCCTAATGATAATAATAACAATGATAATGATGATCATAATAATCATATTAATGATATCAATAACACTAATGATAATTACAATGATAATAACAGTAACAATAATGATTATGATAATGATAATAATAATGAATAATGAAATAATAATAATGATATAATTTACATCGATATTACTAGTAATGATAATAATAGCAATGACAACAAGAACAACAACTTTAAAAATAATAATAATAATAATAATAATAATAATAATAATAATAATAATAATAATAATGATAATGATAATAATGATGATGATGATGATGATAAAGATAATAATGATAATGATAATGATAATAATGATGATGATAGTGATTATAATAGTAATAATAATAATAATAACAATAATAATAATAATAATAATGATAATGATAATAATAATAATAATAATAGTGACAATAATAAAGTGATAATACTAATAATTATAATAGTGACAATAATAAAAGTGATAATGACAATAATAATTATAGCAACAAAAGCAACAATGATACTAATAGCAATTATACTAAACAACAAATATCATATATCAAGGGGTAGGCCCACGCTTTACCATTATAATAATATAGATAAAGGGGGGAAATATGTACTAAAATGCGTATTACTTCGTCTGACATTCGGATTTTTATTTTTTAATGAGAACAGAATATCTTCGTCACTGGTATTGATTGGCAGTTTTATTTACTTTGTCATTATTATATCCTCATTAGTGTTTCCTTTGAACCGTTAAGCAGAGAGTTATTAATAGGTTCGTGTTTTCTCGTATTACTCTTCTTCTTTTTTATGTAATTATTTATCATTAATGATTTATAATCTTTGTGTCACTGTATTCTTCGTTATCTTCTCTTTATCATAACATTTTCTTTATCTTTTTTTCTTCTTTCATCATGGTATTCGTGTTTTTCTTCTCCCCTTTTTTAATTTTCTTTCTCTCTCTCGTTTCTGAATCATCTACGGTTTTCTTTAGTCTTTCCTTTCCTTCTATTATCCACTTCCCTTCTATTTCTCTCTCCGTTCCCCCTCCCCCCTTATATTACCATCTCCTGCCCACTTCTTCCCCATTATCATTGTTCCCCCATTTCCTTCTTCCCTTAAATTTCCCCTCCTTACTTTCCTTCACCCCTTTTCTACGTATCTTTTCAACCCCCCCCCCCCATTCTCCCATCACCCCCTCCCTCCCCTTCCTCCCACCCTCTCACCCCCGTTGTTACTGTCACCCTTTACCCCCTCCCTTCTTTCCCCCCCCCTCTTCATCCCTCCCTCCCCTTTCCCGCCCCCCCCCCCACCTCCCTTAACCAAGTCAGGTGCTGAACCCCTTAACCCTACCTCCTTACCCCCCCCCCCCACCCTCATAACCCATCCCACCTACTCTCTATCTCCCATTACTTCTTCCTCCCCTTCTTTCCCCTCCTATCCCCTTACTTCCGTACATCCTCTCCCACCCATTCCCCTATCCACGTATTCTCTCCAGCCCACCCCTACCCCCCATACATCCTCTCCCCCCCACCCCCCACACATTCTCTCCCTTCCCCTCAATACTAAGTAAGGAGAGGTGCTGAACCGCTACTCGTCCTCCCGCCTTCCCTCCCTCAGAACCAGTACCTGAAGCAACTCTTCCTCCTCCCCCCCCAGGACCAAGGGAGCTATGACGTCACCTTCGAGCTCGTGGATCCTCAGCGTGTGGCCGCCGGTCAGAGCATGACAGTCACTTTGCAGGTCCACAACAATTCTAGCGAGACACGTACCGTCCAGGCCACTATTTCCACCAGGTCAGTTTAAGGGTCTTTCTTAGTTCATCTTTGGTCCGTTTTCTTTATGTGATTTTTTTTTTTTTTTTTTTGGGGGGGGGAAGGGGGTCTATCTTCTCTTCTTCTAGATTATTTAGGAGGGATTGGGTTTTTTTGATTTCTTCGTATTTATTTTTTCTTCTAAGATATCTTTTTTATACTTCATTTGATATCTGAGTATAATTCTTTCACTATCCATACCATTTTTTTGAGTTGTCATCTGAGTATATTTCTTTTTCATTCGTCTTTCTCCATCTATGCATGGTTAGTTGGGGAGGTTGGAAATTCACCTTCTTCCTCGTCTTTACTCTTCCTGCCTTTTTCTTGTTTTCCGAGTCTTCTTCATTCCCTTTCGTCTTGTTGTTTTCTTTCTCCTTCCTCCTTCTTTTCCTTCATGTATGTATAGGTGTCTGTACTTTACTCGAACTTACCAAACGTGTCAGTCCTCCAGTAAAACGCGGGCCAGAGCACCCAGCATCAGCACCTAACACCCCTTTCCCTCGCCCCCCCCAGGAGCGCCTTCTACACTGGTGTGATGGGCGCCCACCTGAAGCGCGTCACGGGCCAGTTCACCCTCGCCGGCGGCCAGCGTGACACCCTCACACTCAGACTGGACGCCTCCGAGTACCAGGACCGCCTCGTGGACATGGGCTTCATCAAGGTCACGGCCTCAGGCTTCGTGAACGAGAACAAGCAGTCGTACATCGACGAGCACGACTTCCAGTTCGAGAAGCCAAGGATGAGCATCGAGGTAAGGGGCTTCGTTCGTTTTTTTTACTATTGTTGTTGTTATTTTGTTATTCTTGGTTGTTACTCCTTGCTATCGTCACCATCAAAACGTATTATTTTTAATATACTAAGATTTCTGTGATTTGACGCGCGTTGGGCCGTCTATGGTTATTTGCTTCACAATAGCCTTAACGAATGGACGACCACACAACGTCTTGTGACTCGCACTAACACCCTCTTTTATTCCTCCTCCCTCCCTCCCCTTCCCCCGGGCCCCCCTTCCCCTGCCGCCCGCCTCCCCCCGCAGGTGGCAGAGTGCCAGGTCGGACAGGAGTGCACCGCAACCTTCTCCTTCAGCAACCCCCTGGACGTCCCCCTGACGGACTGCTTCTTCAGCATGGAGGTCGGCGGCGCCTGCAGGCCCAGGACCATGCGCGTCAACCGCGAGGTCCGTCCAAGGGAGACCTTCACCTACACACAGACCTTCGTTCCTCGTCGCTCCGGGGACCGCCGCCTCGTCGCCGCCTTCACCTCCAGGCAGCTCCACGACATCACCGGCTCACGCAAGCTCACCATCCGCGACTAAACGGACGGCCTTCCGGTGGCGCGAGGACGAGGAGAAGGAAGAGGTCTCGCTGGTGTGGATCTGCCCTCTCTTCTTTTCTCTGATATTCCTTTTCTCAACAACACCCCCCTCCCCCTCCAACCCCCCCACCCCCACCCCCATCACACCCTCCCTCCCCCTTGAACGCAGCCTGATGATAGCGAGGTAAGCGATAACCATCACTTTTGAAACACACGATGAATAGATGGCTATAATCATTCAAACAAGGGAAACAAAACCGCGAACAAAGAAGTACGCAAATATTTGAAGAAAAGAGAAAAAAAAACGCGTCCAAGCCAGACCTGCGTCCTGAAGACAGACGTTGACGAAGACGCAGCAGCAGCAGCAGCAGTAGACAGAAGAACCAATGATGACGAAAAAAAACGAAGCAAAACAGGGGGAGAAGAACGAAGAACATAGAAACGAACCAAATACCAAAAAAAGGAAGTAACAAAAAAAACAACAAAAGCAGACAAGTGTGAAGCCCTATGACCACGCAACACGAAGCCTCCTTCAGGACCACGCAAGGAGTTATAAGACGCCATCATCATATCAGCGCCGAGTTCAGGAAACGACACCAGCAGCTGTGCGCGAAAGAAAGAAAGAGGAAGGGAAAGAAAAGCGAAGAAAGCGGGCGAGACAGAGAGAAGAGAGAAAAGACCAAAAGGGAGGAAGAGTGCGAGAGGCAGAGCGAAGAGCAAGAGAGAGAGAGAGAAAGAGACGAAATGAAGAAATGCGAAGGGGGAATAACGAAACCGCAGAAGAATGAAAGATAGGGAAGAGAGAAAGAAGGAAAGAGGCAGAGTGAAGAAAGAGAAAGAAGAACAGGAGTGAGCAAGTGTAAGACCACGCAATATACAACGAAAAAAGCAAACAAAAACGAATAGCAAATTCAGTAAGGCCTATAGCTGATACTCGAAAAAAAACTTAAAAAAAAAAACACCCACACATTAAGGTTTTAGAAAACGACCTAACAAACATACAAACACACAAAAAACTAAGAAAAAAAAACTAAAAAAAAATAGGTATATACATCTAACTCTTAACAAACGACATTTCTGTAAAATTTGGGTTTCATCGTCAGAGAAGATGCTTGGTGCATTACTTACGTAGAGAAAATAGAGGATGAACACACAGATTTACACAGCTGTAGTTTTTTTCTTTTTTTTCTCTCTCTTAATTTTTGGATCTTAGCGCACCATAGACAGACAATAGGGGAAACGAATAGGCCTTTTTTTATTATTATAACACTGGTACTGTCAACACCAAGCGCTTAAGGGATTACTTTTGTGAATAACACCATTTCTTATTTTTTCCCATAATGTGTAGGTATACTTCAATTTACTCTTCCACAAAAAAAAACTAAAAAAAAAACTAAAAAAAAAATCATAAATAAATATAATAAATAAACGAAAATATATACATTATATATATACAACAAGACATGACACAAAACAAAAAAACTAGTGTATTGATTTATTAATGCAAAAGAAAAGTTGACGACTATATGCATGATATTGGACACGGGCAGTCTCGAATCGTTTTCTTTCAAGCACAGCCTTACTTCATAGAAAATGTACTTAGGTATTCACACGTTAATCACTAAATTCAATATTGTCATGTAGGTACCGGAAGCTTGGAGATATGGCTATGGGGACGTTGATCTTGTGCTGCATCTGAAGGAAAACAAACAAAACTTTTCAAGGAAAAAAAAAAAGGAAAAAGAAAATATGAGCCTGCTCGGCATTTTCATTGTTGTTATTGTCCTTTTCAGAACGTCATATATATATATATCTTTTTTATATAGATATAATATACACTACCTTCCCATGGAGAACCCATATCTCCGATCCCCATAGTTAAGTATGTGGCGGTTTTCAGTGTAGAATTACAATGTAAAGTGGTTGTGGGACGATAGATACGCCAAACGATAGTATTTTAATCTCTTTCTCAAACAATGGTTAAAAAAAAAAAATCCTTTTTTCATTATTTCTTTGTCCACCTACCTGTCCGCCTGCTTGAATTAACCCCAGGTCCGTTCTCTCGCTTTGATAGATTTTTATTGGTGTAAATTAGGTTTCCTAGACGAGATGGACTGCGATAGATCGACAAATAAACCTCTTCAGCAGCAGTTATTGTGTTTGTTGTCTTTGTCCTTCTGCTTATATTTTTTTTGTTTTTGTTTTTTTGTTTGTCTTAGTTATTTTTTCTCTCTTTTTTGAGGTGATTTTTTTTCTTTTCTTTTTTTTGTGTTTGATGTGTTGTGAAAAATAGAGAGCGATTGTGGATTTTCTTTAAGATGTATATGCTGACAGGTTGGTTGTTACTGAGATCATGTATTTGTTTGTTTCAATTTTCCAACTGTATCGCTCTGTTATATATGATGAACTCGCAGCTAATCTTATTTTTTTCTTTCTTTCTTTTTCTTTTAATAATTTCTTGCCTTTTTCTCTTCTCCTTCTTTCTTTGTTTTGTCATATCT